ACTGTTAGGAAAGGGGTACTTGGGTACCCCTTCCCTTCTGTGTAGCATTTATTTTTGTTAAAGTCCTGTGGCAGGGAAACGCCCTTTAAACACCTGTACAAAGTCACTGGAAAACTAGCGGCAGCTGGTTGTTACTCTAGGCCAAATTTATATGTGGAACTTTAATATTGGTAGCATATGCTTAAGAAGAGGACCTGAATGATTTTTCAGGTCATAGGATAAAGTTGCAGGTGAGATTTATAAATACATTGGACATGTGAACACAGCGCCTCTGCTAGTTTTGATTTTTTCAATGTAGTATGACAAAATATATAAATCTTAAATACATCTTAAGAGTAACTTCAGTGACAATAGTTTCCTTGTATCGAAACGTAGAAAGGAAACTTCTCTTGTTCACATTAGGATAAAATGAAATAGTTCCTTTATGCGTGTTTCAGAGTGGGCACGTCCACGTTACTTTTTGCTCAAACTCTTTCTTAATTCTTCCTGGGGTATACCGTTAGGAAAATGAAGGTTTTTACTAATCCCTCTGATAGGTGAAGATGAAAGTGTCTCTTCATAAGCTACGCAAGAGCGTTGGTTCTATCTGGAGTGAGGTCAGCCCTGCCTCCTGTAATACGTTTAGCAGCAACTCTAACTTCAGTTTCACGTACAACACAACACGGAAACTTTTCTGCCCTCTCTATGTCAAACAATGTGGCACTTGATTCCAGAAGGCTTGCAAGAGCTGGTGAAGATACAGCCTGCTTATAAACTGTACCAGCAGAAGTTATTCCGTATCAAAAACAGGCATCACTCATCAGTTATTATTTTTGCTATATTCCTCTATTTTAATCATGTGACAAGAAATAGCCTACCCTGCCAGTGCAATAAAGCAAAATGCCTCTGAGGAGAAGGGGCATTTCGTGAGCTGGAAATGAACAATAACCAGATGGAGCAATGCTGTAAATGAATTCTGAGAAGTACATTCATGAATCAACAGCTCAGTCCTAAACCATTCCTAGAGTAAGCAGATATGGCAGACCCTTCGTGTGATGCCTTGCACAGCTCAGACTTAAAAAAATTAAAAACCAAATTACAATAATTAAAAAAGCAAGTATTTAAAAAAAAATCAACTACTGTTGCCATTTGTTTAACCAAAACAACTAAGCAACTTGTTTAAGACTCAGCTCCTGCTAGCCAGTAACCATATGTTACTTTTTCACCCCACTCTCATGCCTTTTATTTTTCAAAAGGTCACATTAAACAAAGGAGAATACAGACAAGAATCTTAGTCAAAATAAATCTGATTTTCTTTTTTTTTTTTTTTAAAGAGAGCAAGAGGGTAAAGAGAACAGAAGAAAAATATTAGCCAACTGCAACAGAGTTAACAAACAGGAGACTGGCAATTAGTGTTTAATGCCACCTATAGTGAAATGTTTCCCACTGGGAAAAACGCGGGAGGCTAGTCCACTTTGCTCCTTCAAAGTCACAGGCCGGAGCAGAATATACAACAGCACCTAACACCACAGTCACTTTACATATATTCAAGTTTTTACACATCTGCAAAGCAGAAGTAGTAGCAGCCATTTGGATGTTCTTTCTTAATGGTTCTCAGGGGGGGCCTAGGAAACTCGGAAGGACCCGGTTCTTGTGACAGGGAGCTGGAACTGCAGCTGCTGCTTCTGCTGCTGCCTCCAGCCACCTGCGCTCTACCTCTGTCCTCGGCGGGGGAGACCTGGGGAGAACCCGGGCTCAGGTACCCAGCTGTGGTCTGAGTAGAGGTGGTGGCATACGTGGTCGGGCCACCGTTGTTTTTCACATAGACATTTTTGATAGCAACAAGTGTATGTGCCATGATGCTGAGGCTGTTGCTGAGATCTTGCATGCCTTGCTGCAGTAGCCGAAGATTGTGGTTGACACTGTCAAAACCAGACTGGATCAGCTGCATCTGGGTCTGCTGAATCTGCATTAGGTCCTCTTCAGTAATTTCATTTTGGTCCGCCTGGGACCTGCCTTTTGTTTTGGCTTTTACTTTCCCAGAGGAACTACCACCCGTTGTCCCCAGAAAAGGCAGCTGTTCCTGGCTAGGTGGAACCACTGCCATGTCCTCAGAGCTTTCTTCTGGCTCTACCACTTTCACTACTATTTCTTCTTTTAGGTTCATCTTCTCAAGACTGGATTGATGAGATGGGCCAGGATCATCGTTAAATCCTAGAGGAGATGGAGGGAAAGTGAAGAAGAGTCAGTGAGAAACTTCATGACTCTCTATAGTCAATGATAGTTCATCTTATCCACAAAGCACTAATATTAATTCTTGAACCCAGACTCTACAGCACTACTCTTGTACTGCATTATCTTTGATGCTTTGAGAATATGCATTACCTCTACAGATGGGAAAAAATGTAAAGATGCACTCACTGGTTAACCATACATTTGCTTACTAAAGACCCCTTACTTCTCCCACCAGAGGCGCCAAGTTTTGAGTGCCAAAACACAACACTCGTTTCAAACTCACTTCATGCTCGATTTTGCACATGCAAACAGGTATCGATGTGGCAGAAACACAGCGACTGCTAGAAATCGCTCAGTCTTTAAGGGGATCATTTCAGGGCACTAACGCAACATCTCTTGGCCTTGCATAGCGTAGCACTTAGGTACTTGCAGCAGTTTATACAGCCTGGAATTGCACGCTTTTTGCGGGGCTTTTTGCACTTGTAAGGACAAACGCTACAAAGAGGAACACAAGCAACTGGGCCTAATGCCTCAAAGATACAGGCTCTACTCTCACCTG